ACTGTTTCAGCATCTGTTGCCTGCGCAACGCCGACAGACTGTGCATCAACTCAATCTCCTCGTGGGCCAGCTCACATTTGGCCGACAGTTTGGCCCACTGGCAGAAGTAGCGCGCCGTGTCGAGCAACTCGGCTGAGAAGAGGCTCGAGACGACGCCGAGCAGACCTTTGTGGTAGAAAGTCTCGACGAGAGCACAGGCAGCGTTCACTTTCGCCTCGAGTGGCAACAGCAGTCGCCCAGTTGCACCCGCCGTCGACGCCTCGACGACGCCAGAACCCGTCGGCACGGCGACCAGACAGGCCATGGCCGTCTTAATCAGAGCCTCAGTCACCGAGTCCCGCTTGACAACGGCGCAGGCGAGAGAAGCGCCCGCCTCGTGGGCGGCCCGTCGCTGGCCGCCGGTGACGGTGGCGACGGAGCAGGTCTCGTCGTGCGAGACCAACGAGGTCAACGAGGCCGGATTGAGGCAGTCGACGCCGGCGCCGGCGCCAGGAGTCGTGAGGGTGAGTTCTATGCTGCTGAGGGTGCGTCGTCGTCGCAGGCCGTCGGAGGGTTTCGTGCCACCTTCCATGCTGGGAAGGAGTGCCGGACAGCCTGGCTCAGAACCGGCGAGGCCTCGTCAACCACGCCTCACTGCCTCGAGCTGGCGGAAGTCCGTCCGCTCGACATGCCGAGGGAGTGGAAACTCGCATGTGTTACGCTTTTCTCGCAAAGTCTCAGGTTGAACTCCGCAAAATATTGATCAAAACGGAGCAAGCCTCTAAACCCTTCAGAGCGGAACTCACTCCACGCGCTTACACACTTACAAGCACACATACTTTTTTATTCAGGCGCCCGCCATAACGACAGTGTATGCACTAGGCAATACAAGATAATTTTATTTGTAATTTTACACTACTGTTGAGAGACAAGTAGTGAAGTGTATTTACCATATTTCTTTTAAGGACTTGCTGTTAACGTGTCGAAAGTAAACGCAACCTTTTCATAGTTCGAGCACCGCTGAGC